CCAGAACTGGATGCAGTACTCCAACTGCGGCCTCACCAAAGCCGAGTAGAGCAGGAGGATGACATCCTGGGATTTGCTAGAGAAGCATGTAGGGATGCAAGCCAGAGTTTTGCTCACTTTACCAGCTGCAATGTCACATTGGTGGCTCACATTCATCTTGTGGTCAATCATGATCCCCAAGTCCCTTTCAGCTGTGGTGCTACCAAGCGTAGCACTGCCGAGCCTATAAGCATGCTGCGGGTTTTTCTTCCCAAGGTGGAGTACCATGCATTTTTCGGTGTTGAACACCATCAGGTTTTCTTCTGCCCATTGTCTGAGCCTATCAAGGTCAGCCTGGATCACCATCCTGTCCTCGAGTGAGGACACTTTACACCCCAAAGTTTGGTGTCATCGGCAAACTTGGCCAGTCCGCTTCTGACACCAATGTCCATACCATTAATGAAGATGTTAAAGAGTATAGGCTCAAAGACAGAGCCTCGGGGGACACCACTGGTGACAGCACACAATGATGATTGACTTCCGTTAACTACCACGCTCTGGGTCTGACCTTGGAGCGAATTCCCCAGCGCCAGCGGGCTGTGATGTAGCCAAGGCTGCTGCTGGCCAGTTCTTCTATGAGATGATCATGGGATACCGGATGGAAAGCTTTTTTAAAATCAAGATATATGACGTCAATCTCCTTTCCCTTGTCCAGGTGATATGTCACCTGGTCATAGAAGGAGATAAGATTGGTCAGGCAAGACCTACCCACAACAAACCCATGCTGGCTATCACTCAGGATGTTGCCATCAGCCAGTTTGTCAAGAATGGTCTCTTTGATAATTTTTTCCAACATCTTCCCTGGGATAGAGGTCAGACTGATGGGCCTATAGTTCTCCAAATCCACTTTCCTCGCTTTCTTAAAGATAGGCAGCATGTTGGCCTTCTTCCAATTTTCGGGCACTTTGCCTGAGCACCACAAGTTCTTGAAGATCCGTGCCTGTGGCTGAGCTATGATACTTGCCAGTTCCTTAAGTACCCTGGGGTGTAAACTGTCTGGCCAGCTGACTTGAAGGTGTCCAGCCTCTCAAGGTGTTCCTTCACATGGTCAACATTGATGAAGGGTAACAATTCTCCCTCACCCTGGCCATCCCATAACATATTGAGCAGGGCTGTCCCCTGGGGCTGGTGAAAAACCAATGCAAAATACCCATTAAGCAGGTTGGCTTTTTCCTGGGCATCAGCTGGTTGCTGTTTTCCAGCTTCCCTTTGATTGTTAGGTTGCTGATTAAGTCATCCCCTGTTGCCAGTACCAGGTTGAGCACCGTTTTGCCTCTCATAGTTTCATAGTTTCTAGGGTCGGAAGGGACCTGAGTAGATCATCTAGTCCGACCCCCTGCCATGGCAGGAAAGAGTAGTGGGGTCAAACGACCCCAGTAAGGTGGTCATCCAACCTCCTCTTAAAAACCCCCAGGGTGGGAGCCTGCACCACCTCACTTGGAAGCTGGTTCCAGA